GTTCATATGCTTAGATCTAAGCTGCAATCTTGATCTTGAACGCACTACATATTCATTCAGAGCTCCAAAGATAAATAATACACATTTTACTGTATTCATTCAAAATCTAGAGTCTAGTTAGGACTTGTAACGATTCCCATCGCACTTACTACAGTGAAGACAAACATAATCTAGGGCTCATGATTTTGTAAAGTTTTTCTCCGAACACATAATATCAAGTATAGTTTATGGATCGTTCAAAAAACTTAATTTAGCAATCCATTTCCGTACCAACAGATTTTTTATCTTTACCAAGGGCCGAAAAAACCCAGTTGTTATTTTACAATTAATGTGAATTTAACACAAAAAATTTTCATTCAGCAGGAAAACAACTATAGGCACTAAATCTCAACAAAACTAGTGGTTTATGGATGCTGCATTTAGTAATTGCTTTGTTTTTCTTCACTAGTAAAAAATTATTTAATATATCAATGTCGGTTTTGATTTTTATTTATATATCACTGTCTCCTATTGCTACCATTCTTAAACTGTTATGTCAAGGTAGTTCAGTTCCTTTCAAAGGATAACCATAGAGCAGAAGTGTTTAACATATCTTCCAAAAATTTTCATTCTACCCCAGAACAAAATTACATTTTATGGACTAAATTGTAGGAAATTTGTTTTGTTCTAAATTTACAAGAAAAGCGCAGTTATATACGGCGCCATTTTCTCAACGTTTGACATTTTTGAAAAATATGTTTAGTAGTTGCATAGAAAGAAAACAAATAATAATTTTTATGCTATTTATCTGACAATAAGATGTTGAACAGTTTTCTTTTTGTAAACATATCAATCCTACATTGTTTGAAATTTTCATTCATTTTTAAACAGGTACTTTTACCCTTTCAAAACAATGTCATCCACATAAAATTAGTAATATCTATCTTAGTACTGATGAATTTATTTAAAATAGGCCTAACATTACTAAAATATGAAGTTGAAGCTTTCCTTACACTTTCTATCCAGTTTTACTTATTATTTTTAAAGTTGACTATTGACGTTAGACTAAATAATTGTTTGTTTTTTATTCTGAATAGTAACGAAAAAAAGGAATGACTTATTTTAGCATGGATAATTCAGGCTTAAGTGATATTTTTATTTAAAAAAAGAATACCAGTGACTTATTTTCATTAGAACTCTTCCTTAAGTTGATAAGTACACAATTGGATGAAATATAACTACTCAAAAATTCGTAAATTTATATCAATCTGAAAGTCCCACCAAATCACGATAAGGGATAAAAGAATGGTTAGGAGAAGGTTGTCTGTGTAAGAAAAAAAACCTAGTCGTAATAGTCGTTAAAATATTTCCGACAAAAAAACTTGCCATTAATTGTTTGTGTCATCGCATGTTGTATCTATATGCCGACTAGTTATTTTGGTTTAGGATATAGAGGGAGTTGAATAACTCATATATGATCAACTTATACCCTATTCCTCATGTGTTGAAGAAAATCACTAAAGCGAATCGGTTTTCTAACTACGGGTCATTTTTATTTAGACTTAAATAGTTTCTAAATAGCGTCAGATGATTTTTATCTCTTAATCGTTAGCTAGGTACCAATAGTTGGATCGTTCCACTGCTAGATCCCTTTTTCTCGTCAAAAGAAATAAATTTAATCAAATAAATGCAGATATCTGGTCTTCATGAATTTTGATTTAGTTGATCAAAGTAGGAGGCACAATGAAGCTCTGTAATGAGTCGTACAGCCTTAAATGTCTACGTAAGCTAATGTTATTCCTACGTGAAACTCAAAGAAAGTACATCAGACTGATATCACTGAACTTATTTCTGAAAACCATATTAAGTATAAGACTAGAAATGTCTTGGTTCTCATGATTAATTCATCTGATTAACCAGTGAAATTCTCGGATATATGTTTTCTAATAATCAGCAATTAATATTAGTCTTCAAATTAACTTCAACATAACACACTTTAGTTCGTTAGCATAAAATAAAACTTCTCACAAAGTTGTAATGGGTTTTCATATATATATATATATATATATATATGGCCTCTTCTAACGATACTTTATTTAAACTATTTATGTGAACATGAAGTAAATATAAATGATTTAGATAAAAGGTTTTTTGGGAACCAGTCTTGCATCCTAAAGTATTTGAAATCCTCTCTATTCAGCTGAAGTATTTTTCTCTTATGAACAGCGGCATACTTACTGATGTCACCCAATTGAAATTTGAACATTAGCCGTAAGTTCTTTAAACTAATAAGAGTAACTATGTACATGATTGTCTAATTACCTTTGGATCACATTTCCGATATAAGGATGAGTGCTACCCCGTAGCTACCTAAACTGAAGTGAAGTTCAAACCTTCAGAACAATGGTCTTAGCAACTATGGCACTAAATTATCACCTGCTACGCAAAAACATATTTTTCCGAAAGCACAGTTTCCGGATTCATCCGAACTGTAACAGTGTAATCTACAACAGAAATATATGAAATATGTATCTCAGGTAAGAAAATAACCTGGGACTTCTTAGCGCCTGAAGATCAACTATAGTTAACGATAGCTGTTATTACCGTAATAGATGTAATGAAGTGCAGATAATTACAAAATAGTATGAAAAATATGCAGGGTAAAATTATCTGCAGTATTCTGATAAGCTGCCGGTATAGGGGTTGTGGAGAGTATTAAGTTTTTGATTGAGACCATGAACCGGCTGATGTTAGACCACTGTTGGAAACCTGGAAGCACTGGACGGCCGTTTTTCCCTATTGTGGGACTCCTCAACAGTGCGCATCCACGATCCCACTCGCGGAATTTGAACCCAAGGCCTTCAGTCTCGCTCGTGAACTCAACCTACTAGACCAATGAGCCGGCATCCAATGGTGTTAGTGTCTAACATCAACCAATCTACGAAGTTGCGCGACCATCTTCCATTGTACTGAGGTAAATACCTGTCTCTACCCGACACGGATTAGCTCTACTAGTCACGGTTTCTCACTAGAACTCCGAGAATTCCCTCACGAAGCTAGTCACTGGTGAGCGCATGTTAATTATAGGGGTTGTGGAGATTATTAAGTTTTTGATTGAGGTCAGGTTTCCAACAGTGGTCTAACATCAATCGGTTCATGATCTCAATCAAAAAGGTTATGTCATCCAATCTCTAATCGCTTCAACTTCTTACTTTTTGAACATTAACCAAGAAACTTAGAATTCAAGATATTTATTCTCCATGCCGTTATTTGTTAGGTAGACTTAGAATTTGACTTAATCACCATTTCTTTCATCCTACTTCATTCAATTAGTAAGTTAATTTATTTTTTGAATATGAACAAATATATCTACTCAATCTATACGATTATAGTGAGAGTTGATAAGGTAGGTATACATACTGGACTTTACTATTAATACTATTTAAAGTAACATATAACCACTTTTATTCATTGATAAAACGAAAAACAAGAAAAAACACATCGAAGTGTTTCCAGTTTAATTAATCACGTTAGTTGTTATTTCAAATAGATTTTATTTTTCACATATCTAAATATTTTTCTTTTTCATGAACTATGCATGACTCATTCAACTTGTTAAAATGAAAAAAAAATTTTTTTTTAAATTTTGTTTGTCATGATAACTATCTCTTTATTAACATCATTATTAATTCGTAATAACAATAATAATCAATAAATATAACAATTAAAATGAAATTTGAAGTTAAGGTCAACAAAAGTTCCATTTCTATACAAGATCTATGCTAGTTGTAAGTTGATTTTTTTTTAAAAAAAAATATGATATTCATTCGTGTAACCATTTTGGAAATAAAAAATTTTTCTGTTACAAAGTATTATTAATCTGACACTAGTAATGGCGCCATTAACGTAAAACTACTTGGAATAAATATTTAAACATCGATCACATCAGTACACTAAAGGGAGGTGTACCCACCCAACAAATAATGGTCGGTCTTACCTTCAACTGCTTTCAGGTTTTCAATAATTATCTATTTCTGATCGGTTCGTGATTTTAATGAAATTCAACATCTTCACAACGCTATACTATACTAGTAACAGCTTATTCAACTTTAAAACCCTGTAGTTTCACAAAAGAAGTGAACATTCCACCCAAATCAGTACATACACTCATGTTTAGCATTCAGGAGGTGAAGTGGATTTGAGTCATTCACTGATTAACCAACAACCAAATTTTAAAATTAGTGAACACCAATTTCATGTCTATTTCAAGTGATTATTATCAATTTTAGCCAGGAATTTTTGAAAAACTACTCAGAACTTTTGAATAATCAGTATTCAGGTCTAAATCCCAGCGTCGATCCAACATAAGTTGTCCTAATAAAAGTTTATCTTTCAACCAAACCTGTTGATCAATCCAAGTCTCAGAAGCTTTACGGTAAAAATTTAGATTAGAAATTAATTGCAATAACCAATGTGAGCTAAAGAATCTTTGTTTAACCGTTAAAACTCAAGATAATGTGGGGGAGGGAGGAAAAGAACCTTGGAAAACAAGTTGGATCTAAAAAAAGCGTGTATATATGACGTTATCCAGTACACTAAAATCAGTCCACATATCATATCGATAACTACTGAATTATTATTGAAAAGCAGCGTATTGATTAGTTGTTTAACTCTACTACATTATTTCAATATCTTCCAATTTATTTTATTAATTATATCCCGTCGCGCCAATGTGTTATGACATCTTGGGACAATGCTTATCTTTGTCAGGCTCTATGTTGATGATGGTTGACTGACTGACAACATAACATTACATTTCTTAACATATTTATTATTTTACCGAATTGAGACCGATTTAAGTCATCTCCTTTTTCTGTTCTTTAGGTCTCTTATGCTTTTTCTAATGGTGGAAAACAAGGGTAAACAGAATAACAAGTTAATTTCAAGTAAAAAGCAATTAAAACAAAAACTCAAAATTATATTTAACTCCTCGTCCTCCTCCAATCGCTTCTATTTTACCAATGACTAAAATCTGTTTATTTAACAAATACAAACTTCAAATTAAACAAGCTTTAGATGGAAATTTCATTGTACTTTATCAACCTGCTCCAAATTCATTTATTATCATACAAAAAAATGAAGGAATTACACATAATAAAAGTGATCATAATATTCATCAAGAAAGTGATCATCATGATAACTTAAATTCTTCTAGTATAAATATAAATGATTGTCAATCAAAATCTCATTCACGTCGTCAACGACGACAACGATTTCGTGTAGTTATTGGACCACAATTATGTAATTGTCAAAATGGAATTATGCATGAAACAGGAATGACTATTAAGTTAATTGAACCATGTGTTCATTTATTGTTTGTTATGTTGCATGTTCTTAAAATACCGATTGATGATCCACATTTAACAGCAATACCTTTACCTAGTTCAAAAGTAAGTCATGTTATTTGACAGATTATAATAAGAAATGAATATTTCACCATTCTTGAAGTCTAATTTCCCTATTTGTAGCCAAATATCATTTAAACATGTACGTAATATCAAAGCATTTTTAGGTTTCGAATCCATATCGTTCAGTGTTACACTCGTTAATATTATAAACGGTTTATTTGAGCTACAAAACGTTTCTACGAGTATTTATTATGTCAATCAATTAGTCGGTGCTTTCAATTTAAAACAGTGACATCCTAATGAGTAAAAATGAGTAATTTAGGTAATGAAATATTTAAGGAAATATGAAGATGAGAAACTATTGGATTACGATGAAGATTTGATGAATTTGTGTCATTGATCACGATTTTGAATTAGGTTATGGACTTTTGATATCTTATAATTTTTAATCCTCATTTGAAACGGAATAAACAAACCTACATTGAAAAACTTCGCTTGTCAATAAAACGTAGATTTATTGGGTTACGTACGGTAATTCGGCTCTAAGTTTTACAGGATGATAACAAACCGTGAAATCACAAATCTACATTATGTTTTATTTAGGCCTCGTCAAACACAACTTAGTGAGTTTTAGTGTTGCGAATAAAAGGCTTGTAAGCTGAATGTGTTTAGTTCAATCCAAGAAATCAACAACTGAAAATCTTAAGTTCTAATCCATCTCAATATTGAACGATGTTTAATTGCGTTAATCTATTACTGGTCTTAGTTTAATAATAAAAATACTATAATAATAAATACTATTTGACAATTTCACCCTAGTAATGTAAAAATGACATTGGTAAGTATGTTACTTGATAATGTTTGGTAATTGAAGTTACTTAAAAGGAAATTTTAGGCTTACATTTCATGAGTCAGTGACGTGTGTCTGTAATTCTCATGGAAATAATGATCCCCTAAAGATTGACTACTTTCAAACTAGGATTTGCTGTCCGATTTATAGTGACCTTTCAAATTGTAAGTACATGATTACAAAACATTTCTTAAAATATTTTGAACTTATTTATGAGTATAAATTTTTTCCAGGCTGAATTTTGGATTGAAAAGTATCGCAATCATCGTCATTCATTAGTCCAGTCCTACACTAAAAATAGAAGAAACTCAAATACATTGAAAAATGAAGGAAATCAACCGGAAACACTTAAGTTGCCAGAAAAACTAATCAACTCTGAAATATCAAACACACGCCTAATCATTCCTCAGCCCATTCGTCATGAAAAGACAAATAACTTTCTTCATTTACGTGCTATTATGAATCCAAGTGCCCATGATTCTAGTGAATTGTCATCGATCACACAAGACATTGTTCCTGTATCTAGAAGAGAGACTGAAAGTGCAGGAACATGTGACCCAAGTACTTCATATACAGCAGCAACCTCAAGGACAAGTTCCATCGACAGTATAGAAAGCTGTAAATTAGACTCATCCTGTCGATCAAATGACCAACATTGCCGTCCCCGCCATCAAACTACATTTTCGTGCTCCTCTAGCTCGGAAACGGGTTTGTCCTGTCGACGGCCTCAAACTGCGCCTCAGCCTGAACTTCCACCCAGACTAGGTCGAACAAGAGCCAAGTTTGTCAGGTATTTGTCATTAATATTACAATTGTCATAACATGTCCACATGTATACACATTCATATACTATCTGATAATTCTAAAGAGTTGGCTGAATCACGCCAAAAAGACGCTTGTTGAGAAACTAGTGAAAGCCTTGAAGTAATAGGATATATTTGTATATCATATGATCTAGTATTCCACAAAGAACACCATCTATCATTAATACCAAAATCCAGTTTGATTGCTCCACCCACTACTTATTAGCAAATCACTTTGAAGAGAAAATGAATAAATCTATAATAAAAACCAATGAGAACAGGCAAATCGAAGAAGTTGAATATTTTTTATTTAAGCTAGCAGTGAGACTTATTGTGAATCTACCTCAGTGACGATGTTCAAGATAGAATGGAATGATCCTAAGTTACCAGAGATTTTTAAGCTGAAATGAAAACTTTATCTTCAACTGTTTTTAATTTTATCAATCTTTTTATGACTATAAAAGGAAGGTGACCATCTAGTTATTTGTATTGTGGTTACTTTTTCCCAACACAATAATTGAATACATGTTTTTTGAATCAGAAATAATTTACCAAAATATCTTGACACTGATTCATATTACCACTAGAAATGGGTTTTTTCGTGTCACCTTATAAATCATGACTGATTGGATTTCATTACTGTACGTCAATAAGATGTTATGTGCATAACGGCTGATAATACCAGTTAAAATTTTAAAAAAATAGGTGTATATTAGTGAAGATGATTGATCACTGGATAGTATTGGTCAATGTGTTTTTTTGTCTGATGATTAGTGAGAAGCCAGTTCGATAGATCAATTTGTCATCTGGACATTAGTCTAAGTGACTCAGCATCTCACGGGCTATTGCCTTAATTGTATACATTAGAGTTGACTGCGATGCCATTCAGCCTTAATTATAAGTGATGTGAATCATTACCAATGCTTGTTATTTCCATCAAATTGTCTAGTTTTATTTATCATATAAATTACCTCTCTCTACATAAAACTACTGGACATTTGCGCACATACATAGGGTTGAGTTTTAAATTTTATGATAAATTTAACCTAACAATTTCGGTTGTATAACCTGGACCTGATTGTACAATTTCTCGTGATTGTTTTAAAGGTCACGCCTGTATCACATATAAAACCCATAATTTTGCTGTCTGTAAACAAGTTTACGTAAGAAATTTGTCCTATCTAAAACAAATGTATTATTTTTCTTACTGCGTTCTGGTACCTGTCTAGACGTTTAAGACTATTTATAAAAACTAAACATTGTATACATAAATCAAATATCATGGTAATAAAAGCTAAACTCATCTCAGTTCGCATTATTTATAGGCTGAATTTCATTTCTGTATAGTGGTAACAACTTGTTTGAATAATTATGATTATTACACTTAATAAATCATACACCACATTACTGATCTGAAGTAATCGGTATCTAGGATATACATACAGTTCAATTATAGGCATGAATTTCAACTCGTTTACTCTAGTTTCTGTAAAGTATTTTATTAGTCAATAGTTTTGAAAAGAAAACACGAGCTTGTAGTTATGTTTTTATTCAACGAATGCCTAAGTCATACATTATCAAGCTATTCGGGACCAATTCAAGCTAATATGTACTGAAGTTCGGATAAATTTACTTTTTATATGCAATTAATTAACAAAAATGTTCGTATATAATCTTTGAATTGAAAACTTAGCTTAGGAAAAATTTATTCGCTTCGGTTAGAAAAGCAGACAAATTTGTCTCATTTAAAACTTTATGCTTCGCTTAAACATAAACATAAGTTTTCTTCACTATGACATGATACCAGTTGATGAACTACGGATAATTACCATACACTCGTTTTTTTCCAATTTAAGAATAATCAATACATCACATGAACGTCTATCATCAGTACAGTTATGAAAAGATGACCCGATAAATCTCTTCCCAAATACTAATTTAGTATAAAATAAGACATTCTAGATTGTATTTATGTTTGTGCATGTCTTTTTCATGATTGTTTCACGAATAAATTCATGAAAAATAATACTCGTCTCTTAAAATTTAATTTATTATCTTTTCATAATTATTCTTTATCATTATTATACGGATTATGAAAAAAAGGAAAGAATCAAATGATGCATTCCACTATTTATTTTAATACACAAGTCAAATAACTAAATGAAGAGATTACGTTTAAAAGTTATATGGAAAATTTATTTCTTCATAAACTTCTTTTTTTTACTGAATTAACATTCAAACATTAATAAAATAAAAAGAAATAAATATGAAAGAAATAATTACAAAATTCATTCAATTTCTTTCTTTCCTTTTTTTTACTGATTAAACACATAAAAAAATATAACAATAATAATTTATTATATTTCAATGTTTATTCGAAAATAATGGAAAGCAAACTTCACATTGAAATACCAAGTCATTATGCTTAATAGTAAAAATTACTTTTTCAAAAAATAAAAAAAATAAATAAACAAAGTTTTACATGACTCATTGTGTGTTGTTCATCAAATAAATTGAGAGACGGTGAGTGTGCCTGTGTGTGTGAGAGAGAGAAAGAGTTAATTGTTACTTTTCTTTTCACTTATCAATTTCATATATATATATATATATATATATATCTTAACATCTGTGTCTTATAATTTATAAAGCAATTTTTTTCATTTTATTATAAATTATAATATTCATTTAAAGAAATAATAAATTTATGGGCTACCCTAATAAGTATTTCATTTAACTCTATAAATCTACATTCATAGAGCTTATAGAACATGTTCAAATTCTACAGAATTCAATTAATCATTTAGTTACTAATTTGAAGAACAGAAACAGTAATTTTGATCAAATTTTGAGAAAAAAATTTTTTTTGCGTTCAATTACACGATAAAGTAGCTGTCTAATACTTCTATCATTTTAATGATTGTCTTCCTCTTTCAATTCGTAATGCAAATTACATTGTAATCTAAATAAGAAAGATTAGTTCAGCGAAGAGTTCTCCTTTTGACAATCGCAAATATATATACTTATTTTTACAGGATGATAATAATACTGATAATAAACTTCTGTTAGACATGGTGACACTGAGGTTAAATAAACAAAGGTATTAAAAAGTTTTAAACAAGGAAAGTCTAATAATCGTTTGATTGTTATTGACTTAAGTATTCATCAAAAGATAGACAGGGAAATTATCATTGGGAAAGGATGGCTCAGCATGATAAGATAAAATGTTGAAACAGAGATGAAATGTAATCAGAATGATCGTGGAAACGAAAATAAACCAGTTGGGGGTAGAGGATTTAAGGGGAAGATGGAAGGTGAAGCAGATGACTGTAAAGGAAGAGTCTGGAAAAGCGAAAAAATATTATAAGACATTAAGACGATGGTAGAAGAAGAGGTCGTACCAGTCTCTTTTGCACACAGAATTCTGGTTTCTCCAGATGTATGTCTAATGCAGTCTAATTGTCTTTGGAAGACTTTTACGCACCTTCTAGATGACTTTGAACGCAGAGTCTTTCTTGATTGAGCGACCTGCGTTCACAGGGTATTCGATTATTGAACTTCTTATTGAGCCGTTGCCTCCTCTTTTTAGCCACGCCGAACAATGTTCTTGAATTCCTTCGGATAAAGTACTCATCGAACGACCTATATACCTAGCTCCACAAGAGCAGGTAAATTGGTAAATGTACATTGAGTTGACCAGATGCGATAATTTATCCTTCAAATAAGCATCCGGTATTCCGATATTAATCTCATTATCATTTACGTACTTGCAGATAAAATAATGATCTCTGTGAGTGGAACATTAGTGAATAATTATTCGACATCTAGAGATAGCATAATTTTGTCATTTACATTCACTCCTTTTATGTGCTCGATAAATTCAAAAGTATCACGTACGGAGTGTTTACAAATATGTTTTCTAACGGGTTCTAAGAGATTTGTCAGCCACTTTGCTATACAAATCTAACAAGTATTTACTAACATCCTTTTGAATATCCATTATAAATGTTTAACTGATATGGTATACTAGCAGTTTATAAGTTCATGTTTTCATTCTACAAAAGCAATGCATATAATAAACGAAAATATCATGTTGTTTTATTTTCGAATAATTCCACACTTTGTCGAAATATTTATCTGCAGGTTTCAGGTTTCTGTCAGTTTTTTATTTTATTTTTTAAAATTACAGATCTTAAATAAACTATGTTAGATACTTGAAGAGCGGGATGATTGCAAAGATATACTTCGTTTTAGATTTGTGTTACCCGTTAATGAGGCATATTCCCAACATTGATAACTAATATTTTGCTTTTATAATTTCAGTAGAGTAGAACATTTGACTAGATACATACTAAAATTTGAAATCGCTATTTATCTATATATATTCAACCCTAGATAGTATAAATGTGAATAACCAGTCAATTAGCAAATAATCAGTCGGAAGTGAGATGAGATTCACAAAGTAACGAGTAATATCTTAGCTCCAGACTTTGTATATCTTCCTTAAGAGAATAGTATAGATTATATTACGAGTAGAGGTTAAACAGTTTATCATTCTTGAAGATCATTTAATTTTCTCCCTGCCTTCCTTCATATCCCTTGTTTTCTATATTCCTAGTTTATATCCCTGTTTATCACGTAAAATATTTTGCAACATGAAATTTCTACTTAAAATATGATACATGTATGGATTTGAAATTAACAACAATAGACTTATAAGCAGAGATGGATGGTGGCTAGTAGTGAAATGCAGGACGCGCGTTTCATCCCTTTTGGGACTCGTCAGCTGAATGTACCTGCATCCCCAGGGTTAATATTCACTCCTGAACAGGTACTTCCAACTGATGAGTCCCAAACAGGATGAAACATGCGTCCTAGATTCTACTGCCTGCCGCTATTCATCTCTGCCTATAATAATAATAATTGTGATTTAAGGAGATACCGAGGCAATCCACGCAGGATGTATATATGTCAATATGAGACTGATCAATTGCAGTCCTAAAAATCAATGGAAGATTGAAACAACCGATACAAAAAATAAACAACAGACTCATCCTTTAGATCATCAATCACAGACTCTTTTCAGACTGGTTTTTGGACTTTGTAAATGCTCTGGCTATTACGTTAATGATATACAAATGAAATTCCAAGTTTTAATTGATATACAATGTTTCCTAATAATAGATTATGATTTCACCAAACTTCTGAGACTTTAGTTTTACCTATTGTATCAGAAAACCATTTTAAAATTTTTTTTGTCGTAAACTTAAATATATTAGCTCAAAGCCAAATTAGATTGCAAACGAACAATCATATATGCATGTCCTGACAAGTTTTACATTACATTTATATGTGAGAGAAACTGATGAGCAAACAAAGAAATTCTAACCCAATATCATTTAACTAGTAAAGAGTTGTCTGTATAGCTTCCATACAACTACTTGATAATCTTTCATTGTACGAAAAGTGACTAATCATTTCCCAAATATTTACTTAGTCTATCATTGTGTCTATCATATTTTAATTTATCATCAAGTACTGTAGATGTTTTTTTTAGAAAAACATATCATAATTTGTTTATAGGTTTTATATATTATTTAGGTCAAAAAACAGAAGGTGGAGACAACTTTCCCATAGAAATGAAATGAACAACTGCTTGGACCACATATCCTGTTGATAAGAGATAATTGAATAAATATATATAAATATCACTTCATTTATGTACTCTGAAAGTACCATTTAAAACTACTTTTTCTTATCTCGTTAAATATTGCTCATATTGTGTAGATTCTCATAATCTATAAAGAATGGATATGTTAGCCAAATGACTATTTTCAATGTTGTTCTAATAGAGAAATTCGTTTTTACAGAAAAGAGGAAAATATTATTATAAATTATCAATTGCTGGGAGTAAACTAATGATATTAATGGTTAGCGCATTCTCCTAATTAAATTTTATTCTTAGGTGGGATCGTTCTATAAAGCGTTTCAATACTATGTTAACCTTAACTTTTACTACAATGCTACAAACTGAAGGAAATTTGAACCCAGTAAATTGAACACATTTCTTGGTGGTATATAACACTGAGCCTTCTAAAAATCTTAAGATGCAATGAAATACAAATTCGTTCTATTAATTCACAAGCTTTCTACGTAAAAACGGTTAGTGGCTAGCAGGACGCGCGTTTCGTCCTATTTGGGACTCGTCAGCTGAATGTACCTGCATCCCGGACTTGATGTCCACTCCAGGATTTGAACCCAGTACCATTCGCTTCAAACGCCATCACATTATCCACTTAGCTACTGAGTAGTGGATAACGCGATGACGTTTGGAGGGAACGGTGCTGGGTCCGAGTCCCGGAGCGAACATCAACTCTGGGATGCAGGAACATCTGTTGACCTGTTTGGTGCTTATCTTCAAAATTAAACTACCGTGACAATTGAACCAGTAAGATGAATCTTTTTCTGGCGAATCAAATCTTAGAATATCAATTAAGCTCACAGGAAACCCATTAAGTTGAAACCATATAATAGTACAGATTGAGTAGTTGTGGTAATCAAAATGGCTGTAAATCATTAAGTTTATTGTAGTAGATAAGTTTTTGTTTGTAAGTATAATAAGAATAAGTAAGTACTTGTAAAGTATTTAGTTGAATGTAAGGTGTTAGTTGAGATATATGATCTAGCTAAAATGCTTCGATATAATTAATTGCATTATGTCAGTGTTTTACAAGACTTTCCTGACGATGCTGTTAATAGCTATAGATGGCCTCTCAATCTGCCCATCTCTTCCATATAAAAATCAGCCTTACTATGACTGTCGCATATAATAAAACGTCAGACATTTTTATTTATGTATGTGGTTACGTGGTAAACAAACTCTTCTATTGAAAATTTCACAAATATTAGAAGATTAGTATTTGAGCAATGAGTATTCTTTTCGATAAATCCTCTTCAGGTTCTGCAATTACATACTCAACTTAACAATCCGAAAAATGGCCAGATTAATGACAAAGTGCATCGTTTAAAGTCAAAGCATCTGAATTTAGGATCTTAAGTTTTCATTTGACATATAAGCTGATTCAGGTTAACATTCCCTATGCGTCATAGCAGCATTAACAATTTTATTCTATTTTGTTTGGCAATCTTAAATTCAGATGCTTTGACTTTAAACGATGCACTTTGTCATTAATCTGGCCATTTTTCGGATTGTTAAGTTGAGTATATAATTGCAGAACCTGAAGAGGATTTGTCGAAAAGAATATTCATTGTTCAAATATTAGTCTCTTAATATGATGGGGATCTCACAAATACCTTACCAGCCTCACTGTTCGAAATAAGCACAAGATGACACAACTCCGCGATAAGAACTGTCAAGTGGTACTCAAATAAAAAAGTTAGTGGGTTACCAGCTCAGAATAAGGCTTTTTATTGGGTGTTTGGATCTACATTTCTGATTGGTAACATAGAAGAAGGGAATGGGACAGAGGGAAGATTAATCAGACAGTTTCACACCCTCGAAAGTTTATTCACGTAGACTGCGTTCCAGAAATCATAACAAGGATAATGAACAGCAAAAGCAAATGAGACTAAGCAAAATATTAGAGCAAAACTCCATACAGCCAGAACACAAATCTCTAAATGGCCACGACTAAGTCTCATAACGTTTAGGTCATTTGTAAGAACTAGGAAATAACCAATTTTAAGACAGACCAAAATACAATGTAATGTATAGAGGTTTAAAGTAATATCAGTGACTCATGGTTAAAGAGGTGCATATTTCAAATCGGAACTAGCGTTCTCACAAATGAGGTAGAGGGTAGGGCTTGTAAAATACAGCTATATTCACATTTTTAGTATGCTAAAGAGAAGACAGATATAGTGTTCAACATAATATTTTGCTCCGATTCATTTTTGTAACCACTTTGGTTTAGAACTGAGCATTATTAAACTTATTCAATCACAAATTGAAAGTTGACTTGACTTACGTGTTCATCGCACTAATATCTGGAGCGTATCATCGGTAAACTTCGATCTAAGCGGTTGCAGCCTTAGCTAAAGATGACCACAAATGTATTGTAACTTAATTACTTGATTGATTGTTTAATTCCATGTTTTTTTTCTTATAAGGCATTCTGCTTCATCAACAACATTTCGTCCAGTAAGAGATTGTAGTCCTTTAATTCTTCGTGAAGGATGCTTAACACCAATTGAATCGGAAGAGAATAGCACCAATAATAGCCTGAAATATCGGACTCCTATGAAATCAACAAATAAAAATACTACTGCTATCACCACTACGGTTTATACAGATAATTATGATAAATTACAGGAACCACTAATTAATACAATACCTGCGATTACAAATAAACTCAGTCACTCAACAACTACCGCAGATTTACTTCATGGTCCTACACCCAGATCAAATTTCACTCATGCAAGACGATCATCATTTAAACCAACTACCTCAATGAAACAAAAATTTTTTGTCTCATAATACTCCAATTAATCTGCCATTGATCACTAATAATCAAACATCCACAACTGTAAATCACGTTAATACTTTTAATAGCACACCAACTAGTAAGCAACATATCTGTCCTCCTTCTGCACAACAACAAACATCAGTTCATGTAACTGGAACTGCAATTACATCTACAAATAATACTACTATGTTAGACGAATCTGCTAAAATATGTACCTTATGTTTACATAATTGTCATGTTGAGACTACTATTAACAATAGTAATCATAATGCAAATAATCTGATTGTAGATAGTGGTGAAGGTGGTGGCAATATAAATCTAATTGATCCAATATTAGTTTGTCAATCTGTGGTTCCAGATTACGATGATGACAGTAATGATAATGATGTTAATAACGAAAAGATAGCTACATTTATTTGTGGAGCTATATTTCATACAAGCTGTTGTAAAATCTGTAAGTTCTTAGTGTTCATTATTGGTTTTCTTGGTAAATTAACCACAAAGTTCTCACATTTTGAGATTTATTTCCTAATATATACATATTATTTCTTATTTACAATTTTTTAAGTGAACATAGAACTAGCTATACGAATTCTTCTTATTTCAACTATTTAACAATGTGTACTAAATGATATCAATTTAAATTCTTACGAAATCAAAGAGAATAAACTCTTTAGAGAATGATGATTACAATTGATATGGTAAATAGTCATATTCGATAAGATTTTGTATTTTGCCTTTTACTTAGTAGTTCTCCAGTTGATGCAATCCCTGGCACAAACTACGTTCAACACTCTCATCCAGTTCATTATTAAAATTGCACCTTTTAATATTGCGATGAGGTATCCAGTATTCTGTCAAAAATTAATTAACTTTTTGCAGCTTGCTTCTTAATTAGTGAATATTTTGATTAAATATTAAGGAGTCTGTAGAAACGAATATAAAATGGACGATAATGGAAAACTTTCACATTTCGACATAACCTAGATTGTATATATGCTTGTCTGGTGTTTTTCAGTATATCCTTTTCTTGTTACAAAGCCACTTGAACACTTTCATGTTACAGTTAGTCAGCAATCATACTTCTTCAACAAGTTGTATGTAAAATTTTTCAGCGAATAGTATTTGAATTCCTTAATGCCTATTTAATTTTGCTTTCCTTGGTATGTATCGTGGCCAGTGAAGTTAATCACTTTAGTGTATCACTTTGTATCGAATATTACGAGTTTATATGTAGTATTTTATAACTGTTCATCATTCTTTATCATAGCGTCATCAGTGACTCACAACCGAAAAGAACTGCTGATTACTCTATGCTGTCACACTACACGTCTAAATGCCGTAAAGTAATTCAAAAAAAGGAAAGTCGAAATGATATCTATTAATAATAGTGGAAGCCGAGTGTTGTAAATATATTTCAAAATAAAACAAAGATTGAAATAATGTAATCAAAAAAATTTGAAATAATAATAAAACTCAGAATTTACCAATGCATGTATCTGCAGCAGTATGACAGTACCACCTAGGGTTTCTAATCATAAACTGCTTCCAATCTAGAAGTTTGCACTTCATGATACGACCCAGTTCAACCGTCAATAACTTTATCTAATTTTGCAAATATTGCTTATAATCATGTGTTGGTTACATTTTGAATGCTATTTTAAACCGATCACAACTATCAGACGTGGGATAATATTTAAACATTTAAGTAAATACATTGAATACCTAGTAAAGTTATCGAAGCCCTAGAGCTGTAAAAATGTAATTTAATCCTTTATGGTTTGTTCATCGTTCTTGAACCGGTGCATTAGATATTGGTGAAAACCACAAAATAATAGCTTATTCACACATTGAATTATATCATAATTCAAAACAAAATATTTCCGCTTCCAAGTATGAGTTACCATATAAACAACTCAACCGTAACGTCTTATGATATTGAGCAATACATAAGTTAGGTCTCGGGGCACCTCCTTAGGAGCTAACGGATACCTCTTATTTCAATGAATATAGCATTGCTCATAAAAGGGGGTAAAAGCATAATCAAGAATGTCATTACTTACTTACGCCTGTTACCCCTCGTGGAGGAGCATGGCCTCCCACTAACACTCTTAATCCAACTCTGTCCTGGGCAATTTTTTCCAGTTTTTTTAGTTGCTATTCATCCTTTTGATGTCTGCTTCCAATTCCCGATGTTGTGTGTTCTTCGTCCTTCCGCTTTTCGATTTCTCTTCAAGATTCCAAGTTACAGCTTGCCTCGTGATGCATTTTAATGATTTCCACTTCCAATTTCTTTTCCTGATTTCCTCTTCATCTGGAAGCTAGTTTGTCCCCTCCCATAGTAGGCTGTTGCTGATGGTATCCGACCAACAGGTATTGCGTATCTTGCGTAGACAATTGTTTAGAGATACTTGTACTTTTTGATGATGGTTATCGTAGTTCTCCAAGTTTCAGCTCCGTACAGTAGAACTGTCTTGAAGTTCGCATTGAATATTCTGTCTTCGAAATTGGTTGACAGTTGTTTTGAGTTCTATATGTTTTTCAATTGTAGAGATGCTGTCCTTGCGTTGCTAATCCTCACCTTTACGTCTGCATCAGATCCTCCTTGTTAATCTATGATGCTGTCCAGGTACATGAGAGTTTCCCCCTCTTCCAGAGTTTCTCTATCAAGTGTGATTGAGTTGGTGTTCTCCGTGTTGTATTTGAGGATTTTGTTTTTTCCCTTGTGCATGTTGAGGCCAACTGCTGTAGAGGCTGCTCCTAAACTAGTTGTCTTGACCTGCATTTTTTGATGTGTATGGCATAGAAGGGCTAGGTCATCTGCGAAGTCCAAATCGTCTAGTTGCATCCAACCTGCTCATTTTATTCCGTGCTTCCCGTCAGATGTCGAGATCTTTATAATCCAGTCAACTACCATGGGAAAGAGTAGACAGCCTTGTCTAACTCCAGTCCCCACTTGGAATGCATCTGTCAGATGTCCGCCATGCACCACTTTTCTCTGTAGGCCGTCGTATGAATTACGAGTGATGTTGGCGATTCTCTCAGCTACTCACACCATAGTGTCGAGGAAGTTTCCATAATGTTTGCCCATCCACATTGTCAAACGCTTTCTCATAGTCAATGAAGTTGATGTATAGTGGCGTATCCTAGCATTTATTTCTGTCTGACTACGGTGGTATATTGTCAGGTTCTGCTGCTTTCCTACTCTTAATTTGTCTGATTGCCATCCTGTCTTCTTCGATCGTTGGTGAAGTGACATCTATGGGATGATCAGTGTGTGTGGTTGATTCAATGGAACTGGGTTCAGTGGGACATGTCTATTCAAGAGTCCTCCAAACTGTTGTGCCTATCTGTTCTTCTGTTCTTGAATATCAGTGATTAGCTTGCCTCCTTTGTCCTTAGCTGGTCTTTGTGGTCTACTATATTTCCCTGCCAGTTTCTTCGTTGTGTCATATAGTTGTTTCATATTTCCTTCTCTTGAGGCTTTTCCGCTGTCGTCGCTAGCTCTTCCACGTGTTTCGGCTTGTTGGCTCTCATGCTCTTCTCCACTTGCTTGTCTGCTTCAGTGTATTCAGCTTGTGCCTTGATTTTCTCTGCTCTTATTCGACTATTGTTAATTGCGGTCTTCTTGTTCTTCCTTTCTTGAATCTAGTCCAGGGTTTCGATAGAGATCTGTTTATTATGGTGATGCCTTTTGCGGCCCAGAACCTCCTAACACGTCGGAGTTGGTGTTTCTTTTACCCCCTTCTGGTTGTCGTTCATAGTAGTTTCTTCTTCTGTAAGTAGATCCTGTAAGACATGGAACCTGTTGTTGAGAGCTATCTGGAATCCATTGAGTTTGTCAGTGTCTTGAAGAAGGGCTGTATCAAACATTTGTAACACTGTCTCGTCAGTTTTCTAGTGCTTCTTTGGCTCCAATTTTATCCTGACCAAAATCGTGTGCTGATCTGAAGCTGTGTCAGCTTCTCTCTTGGTTTTCACTTCTTTCATTGACCCTCTGAATTTTTTAGTGATGTAAGTATGAACAGTCTGATTCTGATATCTTCCGTATCTAATCTTTGCTGTCCAGCTTGTGTTCAGTGGGTTTCGCTGATTGCAAGTAGAGCCAAGTTGTATCTCCTCATTTCTGTAGCTATTTGACTGGTCCTCCCAGTCTCCTACATTGTCCGAACATTCCATGTACCCATACCGAATGTTTTCATGGTTGTTCGAAGTGGCATCGTCCTTGTGACATCCGAAGAATCTCAGCTTTCATCATGAAGCGTAATAATAGTTTAAATGGTTTAAGTTGTTTAACCTGGTTAGCGTTTTTTAGCAAGATTGTTTTCTCCGTGATGGGTTACTGTCAGTAGTTCCAGAAGAGCTACAGACAGATTTAATCTCACATTTTATTGATGAGTGCAGTATTACGATTAAAAAAATGTAAATAAGTATTGTTCATTGACCTGCTAATAAAAAATTTATTTACGTCTTAATTTCTTAAACAAATACACAAAAATATTTTCATAGTTTGTGACACCCCGGTACATTATTGATGATAATCGTTTCGGATACATATTAGATACCAAGTATATATATATATATATATATATATATATATATATATATATATATATATATATATATATAATGTTGGGCGAAAATTAAGCAACAATAAATTCGCGTTTTATTTAAATCCGAAAAAACCATTAGTCAACTGTCCGTTGTGACATGAATAATTATTTTTATACATCGTATTGATATAGTGATCCAGTAACGTGTACTCCCATAGGCTGCGTCTATGTGATAATCTGGTTCCATTTTTTAAATCCAAAGTATTTCTGGAGAAATAGATTAATAGTGAAAATCAAGTAAATTGAAGGTGAATCAACTGGAAATAAACCTTGGAAGCGATTGACCACTGTAACATAAGTCTCTCTTTAAGAAAATAGTTATCTTATTTGATCTGTCTGAAGCATCTCAGATGACAAAAAGTCCCTCGAAGCTGTTTTTTATTTCATAAGTTCTCCACTGTTATTTAGAAACCATTGCGCTCTAAATTGATCCCATAATAAATAATTCTGTTAGGTCTCAAGCGATAAGTACAAAGATTCTAGTCATATACTTTTGTAAAAGTCAAACTAAATAATTTTGATCCATCTACATTGCTAGTTGACAATATCACTAAATGCCTGAGATTTATGTTATATCTATGCTTTTATAAATTTGAAAAAACCCTATACTGCACATCAATTTTTTCTGTATTACTTTGTGGTTGTGAAACGCCTAGTCAGAGATAATACATAATTTGCTAGTATTTGATCACACACTCTTTTAGAACACTGTCAGCTTATGGCAGAACCTCTCCTTAATTTATTGTTCACAATGTTAGAGGCTTATGTGTTGTATCCAAAGTAGATAAAATTATGGGTAAATTCCGGAAACTATTTATGGACTATTATTATATGTATTGTT